GGAAAAATGCATCGAGATCGCCCGGGAGGCGCTGGAGGCCGCTAACCGCGACCGGGCGTTGCGCTTCCTCCACAAGGCCCAGAAGCTCTACCCGACCGAGACCGCCCGAGGTGAGGCGCGAGCCTGCCCGCGACACACACACACACACACACACACACACACCCCGACGGGCCGAAGGCCTGCCTGAGCTGAGCCCCCCCTATTCTCGCCACCCTCCCTGCTGGCCTAGCCTTGGGCAATCCCCCGACTAGCTCGCCTAGGCCTAGGTAGGCTCTGAGGCGCCATCCCTCCTGCTTCCTGTCGTCTAGGTTTGCCAAACACAGCAGCCCCTGTAGGGCTACCTTTACCCAACCTGCCCTCTTTGTGGCTGTGCCCCGGGGACACTGGTGAGCCGAACGTGCCAGCGGGCCTTGGGCCCGAGAAATCTCTTCCACTCAGACTTCAGGTGATGTGTACGGAAAATGGCACATGTGCTGCTATGCATCTGTGAATATATAGATACAGACCAAGGTGAGGACCCAAAAAGTGAACCCAAAATAATTAGCTAGTGACAGGGGTGGCCAGCCTAAACCTGAGAAGGAGCCAGAATTGACCAATGTACATTGCCAGAGAGCAGCAGTTATATGTCACCAACCCTGATCATTTCCCCACCACCACTCTCAGCACATCCTGCCCACTGGCAGCTCCACAAGTCAGTGCTGCTGCCTCCTTTTCCTCCTGCCCACTGTGATCAGCTCTTTCTCAGTGGGAGACACTGGAGGGGGGAAGCATGGGTGTGACAGGCTTAGTGGAGAGGATGGGAAGTGGCAGGATCCTAGCAGCGCCTAGGGCAGAGCTGGGGGTTAAACAGTGAGCATCCTCTGGCCTTCGATTTAATACCTATGCAAGGAACCTTGTATTAACGTCTGAAGAGCCCCATGTGGCTCTGGAGCCTTAGGTTGGCCACCCCTGAGTTAGTTCAACCAGTTTGTTAATCTACATTCAGACAGGCTGGTGGTAGACACTAACAGGGGAACTGAAGGGTAAGAGGTTTAACTGTTGGGAGATTGGCTGTTCATGTATTAAAAGGAGACAGTGGTATTGGGAACAGAATCCTTTGGCTGGAATTAGGAATTGAAGTAAGTTGTAGAAAAGCACAAGTTCAGCTTTATTCTACTGCTCTAGGTAATAGACTCTTATTTAGTACAATTTGCCAAAGAATATGTCTACACAGCAGCTAGACATGGCCCATGCCAGACATAGGTGTCTAGTTGCTGTGTAGACATACCTTAAAAGACTTGACGAGTTAGTTGAAATTCAGAGAAGCACTTTGCTAAAACTTGTAATACTTAGCTAAAATAATTGGAAGGACACCAAGACTTTGGTTTAGCAGCATGTTCTACTGAAATAATTTATTGTAGATTATTGTTTGCACTTGTGGGGCAAACTATTAGAGCCAATGTGTTTTACAGCAGGATTCGCTGCATTCATAAAAGTTGCTGTACTCCATTGTCAACTTGGTCTGTAGTAGTAATCTGCATTGGTAGCTAAAACCTCAGTGTATAGAATGTTTTAGCATCAAAGAAGGGGAACAAAGAGGTCCAGCAATACTTGTGGAAAATGGGACAAGTCACTCAAATAGAATTTAACAGTGTCTTTGGCCAATTACACACTGGCATTTTAAAAAGCATTAGCATTTTTTAGCAGTTGTTTAAATGATGGGTTATTTAGAAGAAACAATAGCATGGTTTCAAATTTCATTATTGAAGGGGTCATTCCGGATCTTAAGATCTTCTAGTCCCTGGCTCTTGCTGTGGTCTCGGGGGTTCTGTGCCCGGGAGGCGGTAAAAGCCAGAAGTTCACTCTGTTAGGGTATGCAATGACTTTCTGAGTTTCCAGACTCCACTTAAATTCCCTTTATTTTCTTCAAGGGATGAGGAAGTTTCCTTTTGTTCTTTTTACTGAAAGAAGATTTCCTCACAAAATTAAATACTGCAGCATAAAATAATTACAATTAAAGTTGCACTCCATGGTGATGCTCCAGAATGATATCTGGTATAAGTTTACTAAACACTTCCTCCTTCTCCTATGCCTGCCTATTAAGTTTTGTGAGCTAGCAGTATGTAAGTGCTTACAATGTACTTTTATTGTAATTGCAGTAGATTGCTTCTTCTGAAATAAAAGATATATTAGGGATCATGAGGATGAGGGAAATCCATTGCTTCTCTGACCCGAGCCTTATGTAGAAAAAACTGAGATACTATTACAGTGATGAATGTAATAGAAAACCTTTTCAATAAAATTTAAAAAATCCTATAGGTCAGGATTTGGATGATGTATGGTAGATAAGGAATAGAATCATATATTAAATTAGGATAAAATTAAATATGGAATAGCTGCTTCATTATCAGAGTACCATCTCTTCTTTGCAGGGAATGAAGCAGAGATCCTATTGCAAAAATATTATGTTATGACATAATTAAACATAATGCACACATATGAAAGCAGGCAAAATTAAGGTTTCATGAGCAACATTCATTCTGGCACTTCATAACTTGAGTGCTTGATCTGAAACCTTACTAATATTCTTTTGAAGATATTTTTGTATGGAATACAGGCAGTCCCCAGGTTACATGGATCCAACTTACATCGGATCCCTACTTACAAACGGGGTGAGGCAACCCCGTACTAGCTGCTTCCCCCCAGCAGACAAGGGAGACACGAAGCTAGCGCCCCCCCCCAGCAGACCAGGGAGACGTGTAGTGTAGACATACCCTGAGGGAAGTGAGGTGTGGGAGAATAAAACTGAGCTCTGGAGAAATGTTTGGCTAGAGTTTCCCCTACAATATGTACCAGTTCCGACTTACATACAAATTCAACTTAAGAACAAACCTACAGTCCCTATCTTGTACGTAACCCGGGGACTGCCTGTACACTATATTCTGAATTATATTTGGACCATCAGATTGATCTTCTAGAATCTTAGAAGATCTGGAAACTGTTGAGAAGTGTATGGAGCTTTTTAGAGTGTCTACACTACTATTTTTTAGGAGATTTCCCATTGTGACACTTATTGCAGCTCCCTCTGCGGCAACAGTGATGACAATGCTTGGGTACACAGGCCTTAGATATTTTTTGCCACTAGGTCATCGTAGCTCCTGCTGTGTGTTGTGGCAGACTTTACAATAAGGCTGTAGAGAAAGTTCTAAGAACTTAAGAATTGCCATATTGAGTCAGACCAATGATCCATCTAGCCCAGTATCCTGTCTTTGGATGTGGCCGATGCCAGGCATTTCAGAGGACATGAACAGGACAGGCAGTTATGAAGTGATCCATCCTCTGTTGCCCATTCCCAGCTTCTGGCCAACAGAGGCTAGAGATATGATTTTCCATCCCTATTTATCTTGGCTAATAGTCATTTTTGGACCATGAACTTATCTAGTTCTTTTTTGAACTAGGGGTGTGAAGGACTAGTCTACTATCCCACAAACAAATTTTTACTAGATTGTCAACAGGCTAGTTGATTAGTCACTTCTTCCCCCTGCCCTTGCTGCCTCCATCAGAAAAAGCAGCAAGGGGGGGGGAAGAGAAGGGGTACTTCAGAGGCGACAGTGCTGCATGGAGCCTGGGGCCAGACCCCAGGCTCTATGCGGTGCTGCCGCTTTGAAATGCCGCAGGGAGCCCAGTGGTCAGGCTCCTTGAGGCATTTCAAAGTTTCAGCGCCGCATGGAGCCCGGGATCAGCTTGTGACTCCCCTGCTGACGGGCTCCATGCGGCGCTGAAACTTTGAAATGCCTCAAGGAGCCTGACCACTGGGCTCCCTGCGGCATTTCAAAGCGGCAACACCACATGGAGCCCAGGTTCAGTAGGGGAGTGTTCAACTGACCCCAGGCTCCATGCAGCACTTTCACCGTAGGGCTGTTGCTACATTTCAAAGGCGGAGGCACCCTACTGACTAATGGATAGTCAATGCATCAACTGTTCAATTAGTCAGTTACATGCAATTTAACATCTGTACTTTGAACCCTGTTGTAGTCTTGGCCTTTACAACATTCTGGCAAAGGGTTTCACAGGCTGACTGTGCATCATGTGAAGAAATACTTTAATTTAATTGGGTGACCTCTAGTACTTGTGGTATGAGAAGTGTATATTACTTTCACCACATCAGTTATCATTTTATCGACCTCTATCATATTCCACCCCTTAGTCGTCTCTTTTCCAAGCTGAAAAGTCACAGTCTAAGTAATTTCTCCCCATATGAAAGCTGTTCCATACCCTAACCATTTTTGTTCTTCCTTTCTGTACCTTTTAATTCCAATGTGTCTTTTAAAATGGGGTGATCAAATCTGCATGGAGTAATCAAGATTTGGGCATACCATGCATTTATGAAGAGGTGATATGACTTTCTGTCTTATCTAATGATTCCCAGCATTGTTAGCTTTTTTATTTGCCTCTGCACGCTGATAGATGTTTTCAGAGAACTATCGACAGTGAGTCCAAGATCTCTTTCTTGATAGGTTACAGCTAATTTAGACCCCATCATTTTATATGTATAGTCGGAATTATGTTTTCCAATGTGCCTTATTTTGCATTTATCAGCATTGAATTTCATCTGATATTTTGTTGTTCACTCACCCAGTTTTATGAGAGCTCTTTGGAATTAACAATCTTGAGTACAGGTTGCACCTCTAAAATCCCAGATTCTCTGGTCCAGCAATGTCCATGATCAATCATAACCACAAATGTTCCAGGATCACAGAGTCCCTGCGCACTGAGGAGGGTGGGGGCCTGGGAGCTGGCACGCAACTCAGTTGGGCTGCGAGGGGGGGTTGGGAGCTGGCACGCAGCTCCGCTGGGCTGCAAAAAGAAGTCATGAAGCCAGCGTGTGGCTCAGCTGGGCTGCGGGGGGAGGAGGGAGGAGGAGCTGGCTTGGGAAGTGGGAAATGGCACATGGCTTAGCTAGGGAACGGGAGGAGCCTGTGTGTGGCTCTACTGGGCTGCCGCGGTCGGTGCCAGGAGCCAGCGTGCAGCTCAGCTGGGCTGGGGAGAAGCCGGGAACTGGTGTGTGGTCAGCTGGGCTTTGGGGGGAGCTAAGAAACCTGGTAAAGGGCATCAGAGAGGGCCAGAAGCA